CTTGAAGAATTATCTGCAGCTACTGTATATCAAACTGGAGACCAGGAAGGACTTCACTTAGGAGAAACCAGCCTTGAGAAGAGCAGTAAACACTAGTGTAGCAACCTGTCAAATCGCTGTCATAGCCAACAGGGCGGCTCATACGCCACAAACGCGTCCAATCCACAACGCCAACAGTAACACAGCTCCAAGTGTCCATGCTATCAAAGAAGGTTCTATCGGCCAATTAGCCTAGTGAGGCATCTGTCGGATTTCAATTCAACAACCGGACAATCCAACTACTTCATCCACAAACGCCCCTAACTTTAAGCCCGCCGGCCACTTTGGCACCGAACAATCCCACCATCGGCGACCATAAATCTGAAGCCCCGCCGCCATCGTTCAATGTCACCTTCATCCTCCCTGCCACGACGACGACGAAGACGACGGCGAAGGTGGTCATCACCAGCACCACCACGTCTTCCACACCCACCACCAGTGAACTCACTTCCGACGCCCCGTCAACCACCACCAACAACGGGGACTCGATCCCAACCTGTCCTCATTACGATCGGCCTAGTCGACCGCCTGCAAATCCATCGTGTTGTCACTGTTACCGACATACCAGTGCCAGACACCCTGGCGTACACTTCCCGCATCCACACCCACTTTCGCCCTGCCCAGGCACATTCATTTACAGTATGGATGAAGGCAGAGTCCACCACGATAGTGCCACGCCAAGCCCGCATTACATACACGAAAACTCTCCTATCTCCTGCACTAACAACTTTTCATCCACCAGCGCAGCCTCCACTAGTAGCCTCACCCGACATCTCTCAACGTATCATGCCGGCACTGCCACATGGTCCGTCACTTGTGAATCCATCGCACAGAGGCTGGTGAAACACAACCAGGAGCACTAACATAAGCTCACCGCACGCGTCTTGACTGTCTGCCGTGTCCACGCACATTTACTCACCGCATGGGCCTAGTAGACCACGTGCGTCCCCATTAGAACCTACAGTATAACACCACCGCCCATACCACGTTTCTCGTCACCACCGCCTACAGCACATATGACCACACACAACATCACCCAACGCATGCTAGCAAACTGTTAAAATCTTGTGTGTTCCTGTGTCAACACA